TCTGACGGCTCTGTTACAAATATAGGTACCTCCTGATGCTCTATAGGCATTGGCTGGCTACAAATACAAAATTAAACTATACTTCATACCTTCCAAGCCAAAATTGAACTCTAGCCTAGCTCATACAAGGCAGAACTCATAGCAATAGCATCTGCTATCTGTACTGCTCCTAGAAACTGTACTATACAAATTTTTACAGATTCCCAATCAGTTATTTCAAAGTTTTACAATCTCTCACACAATACTTATAATACAAATTTTATAAATACCCCTTACTGTTTTGTTTGGAACACTCTTTTAAACTTTTCTAAATCCTACAATTTAAATATTATATTTCACAGAATCAATATGCATCAGGATGACATCTTTAACAATGCAGCTGACCAACTAGCCCGAAACTATCAGCAAGCACCATACCTTACTTTTAACACCCTTTATTTACTTTCAGCTCTAACAATCTCCCAATTAAACTTCCTATACGGCGTAGTATTAGAACAATATGTCATGCACATATCTTTGCTAACTGGTCATCTCAAAACCGGTTCCAAAAATGGATCTCAATTACATCTTTAATTAACTGGCAAGCAATCTGGCTCTATCTTAATAATAACCAAAAAATATCCAATTTTTCACACAACTTCCAATTCTCCATACACAAATTCTTCAGAGTCAAATTACTTTTAAATGATTTACCAACATCTAATATCCTTCATAGAAGAAACCCTTTCTATTCTAACAAATGTCATATATGCCAACAAGAAAGTAACTCACTTCACTGGATATCTTGCCCATTCTCTGAACCTCTATTTAACCTTATTCGTAGTTCTTTAGAACATATTTTAAGTTACAACAAACTTCAAATCTCATATTTTCAAGCACACAATCTGCATACCTCTATTCTAAATCTTGACAGTTTTCAAGCTCACCAACTTACTCATAAACCTTCTTTAGCTTCTACACTCTCTGGATTAGTACGAATTGACATTATTAATACATTAAATGAGTATACTACATCTAGCAAAACAGCAATATCTCTTACTATTAAACTTCTTTTTGATATTAATCATCAAATATACAAAAAATTATGGATCTCCTATTATATATCAAGATCACAAATTGATTCTACAACTTTATCCCCACCTTTTATACATACTCCTAACATATTCAATATTTCTAATCAGCCAAACATTGAATCTAACTTAATTAATTTTTCACACAAAATTGAAATATAGTATACCTACTGGATCAAATATCTAATACACCCATCTCATATTATTACTAATACTCAAATCTAGATGAGCCTTGGCCACTCTGGTTGGTTTAGGCTGCAGATAAAAAACTAGTTTGTCTATTAGGCATCTTTAGTTAGTCTGAGTTCTTATTCTTAGCATTAGGTTTATACAATAAAATTTTTTCTGATTTTGTAAAAAATTTTGATTAAATTTAATAAAGATAAGAGCAAGGTCTCACTCACCATTAATATTAAAATATATATATATATTTTATTATACATTACTATTTTTACTTAAAAAATATCTCTAAGTGAGTATACTGGGTAGTATCAAAAACACTGAACTCTGTGATATTTCTGTGATATTCACATCATATAATAAACACTCAGCCTAAGAAGTTAGTATTAGGGTTAGTGATAAGTAATAGTTATATCCTAAACAGTTGAGTATAAGCTGGGATGAAATTCCTGTTATACAATAGCTAGTAAAAAACAAATGACGTTATTGCATGATTTTATGTGATGCAATGATCACTAAGCTTAGTGTTTTTGAAGTGCCTGTTATACTTTTGTAAAAAAAATTTATCACATAAATCAATTGTATAAAGTTGAGAAACCTATATATTAGTGTAATGGCTCGGCTCAGCTTGAGGTTGATTAGCTTGTAAATAGCTCAACTCTGCTTGATAAGCTGAAAGATCAGCTCAGCTGTACTATGCATGTATATACAGGATATGTGTATTTATGTGTTTATTGTACATATGTAATTGATCAATATTGTGAAGATTAATTTGTAAATTTTGTAGATTGTTATATACTACAAAATTTTATGACTTTATACAAATGAAGAATAATATCTTTATCTTCTACTGTGGATATATGAGAGCCTGAAAAGCCCTATATAATGTCATAGGCTAAAAGGTAGATCGACAAATCGGTGCAGCAAACTCATGACATCAAGCAGATTGATCGTCAGAATTCCAGATTGACTAGCACATGAGGCTTACTGGCTAATTAATGAAAATAATAACCTATGCAAAATCTGAAGAAGAATTCCTAAAAGAACAAATGAAGTTCTAAAAAGAAGAAAACAAGAATTAAGAATTAGTTAGAAATAGTTTTAATATAAAATGTTGTAAAGGCAAAAACTTCATTATTATAATCATGTTGTACTTATCTTTATAAGCCCCTTAGTTATAGTGATTCTCCCTTGATTTTTCATGATGAAAGATTCGATTTATCCCCAAGCCTTTTAAGATCATTAGTATAGCTAAAGTTATATAAACTCTGTAATTTTTCTCTTGTAAATGTAGGTCCTACGGGATTCTAATATTATTATTAACCTATAACATTTAATAAATCATCTTTATAAATATCGTTTAACAAACTAAACAATTGCTAAATTACCATCGTCACGCCTCTGACAAGTTGCCTTATATCATAAAATCATGTGAATCATAGTAAAAGGATACAATTCACCCCGTAACAATAACCAAGAATTTACCTTTTATGCCTACAGTTGTAAAAAATAAATAGTATTTATCTGTTAATCACTTCTAATTTGATTTTTTATTTTCATTGTGATGAACAGAATATTAGGTGTATTTAAAATAAGCCACTTCTTTATATTTGTATTAAATTAGTTTGTAAGTATATTCTAAAATATTTCTTGCTGCTTCTTTTGCATAGGGTTATAAATTATCTATACTTCTCATTAAGTCAATTATTTAGGTTGTTTTAGCTGGAAAATACAATATATGTATTTATAGTTTTATTAGCTGTCTTTGAAATTTAAACCTTATACATAGTTGATATAATGCTAAATAAAAAATTTTGTCATATAAGCCAGTGCTATTAAATTTTGCTTCCAGTACAAATTTTCAGCCTTTCAGAGAAATTTGCAATAGTAAAAGTTCTAGTAGTAATGATGTAGTAATTACAAAATTACTATTAAATTTAATTGTGACTACATAGTTACTATGCAGTTACTGTGCATTATGGTATTTTAATATAATGGCATTATGATATAATGGCATTACAGCATTGCGGCATTACAGCACAAAGTAATTACAGCAAATAATACAGTGTTGTAACCAGGAAGAGACTTAAACCTTCTTGCACAGAATTAGCTTAAGGTAACTAACATAAACTCAAGTTTAAGCAGCTAATGAATAGTAATCAAGTTGAGCAAAGCTATCTCACAGTCATGGGTTGTTTTGTAAGTTCATAGGTAAGTTTATATGTATAGTCGTATTTAAGGTTGTTGATCTATCCAAAAGTCAATTATATGAATTATTATAATTGAAATTCTAATAATGGGTTCAGATCGGCACTATACTCAGTTTGGGTATAACAAGTTTTTAAGGTTAGATTGAGGTTATTGTTTCTTTTTAGATAATTAGATAGGAATTACGTAGTTATAGAATATATTTTTAGGTTGAGGCAGAAAGTGCAATTGTTATTTATTAGTTTTAGCTTCGTATTTATACATTTTTAAATTCTGGGGTCCGAGACCCAGATCTGGGGTTTCAAACCCTTATTGAGGGTTTCAGACCCTTATCGAGGATTTCAAACCCTTATCTATAGTTGTAGACTGCCTTGCAGGGTTCGAGACCCTGGCCTGCGGTTCAGGACCCTTGCATACTTGTATTGTTTTTACAAAAAGAAATACAACTATACAATTGTTTAAAAAAGGACATTATCTAGCACAAAGCAGACTAAAGAAGAAATTATACTAATTATTCTCATAATATCTCTCCCGGCCTAAATGGCGAGCTCCATCAAACCCAACAACAACCTCCGGGTTTCTTCATCCCTCAATTGCTTAGCTTCTCCCAGCATGGCATCGTAAAAATTAGCTTCTAATATTCGTTTTAGAATTGAAATAGCGATTTGCCAGATATGGTGCAGATATTACATTCCACAAGCACTAAACAGTATGTGTGCTCTCTTTGCAATTTTTTATACTAGACCTCCTTTGGAGCTGGTAAGTCATTGATATAGTTTTCACTGCACTTTTTCACTTTACCCTTTTTCTACTAGCAGGTCTTCTAGCTTGTAGTACACTTTTAGCACGTGAGCATTTGATTGGGTTTGGGGGTTTAGAGCTTCGATTGCATCACAACACTGTTCAACGTTTCTTCCCAGGTGTCGCTAGCTATTTTTATAAGCATCTTAAGCTCTATTTCAGTATTCTAGTCTAGGTCACGAAGGTACAACTGCAAGTTTTCGTAGATTCGTTGGGCTTTGCTCCGCTTCTTACTTTGTCTAATGATTTCATTGATCTCTTGACCTTGACTTCTAAAAGTTACTTGCCTTTTCTTTATTTCTAATTCTTTATTCAGATTCAACTTATCAACAAGAGGTTAGAGTGTTTCCTTCAGTTATTCGAAGAGTTCTCCATCATGATTACTTTTTTTTATTTTTTATTTTATTTATATTAATGTTCAATTTTCTTCAGTCACAATTATCCCAGTAGCTTGTTCTATATATTTTTTTAACTGACTCCTGTGTACAACTCTTACTATCACCTTTTCATCTGCCCAATAGTACGTAATTTATACATCCCATTCCTGATTACATCATGGATCCAGTATGGACCCGTTCAATTTTCCTCCAACTTTTGCCCCAATCAAGCCTTATACCACTTTTCTTCAATTTCGAGGCTTTGTAGTGGGTGTTGGCGCCACTTCTGCTTCTGTTACGACTTACAAATGTTTTCACGAGCTTCGATACAGACTTCAAACAAATCATCTATCATTTTTAAGGCTTAGGTCAAAATTAAGGCCTCGTATTGATCATCCTCCACATCGTCCACTGGGTATGTTTTTATTGCCAATTCCACCTGTAAAGTAACCTCTCTTCTATAGGTGAAATAAAAAGAATCGAATTTGGTCATGCCATGTTTGGCAGTTCTATAGGCTAGCAGTGCATATTCATCTCAATTCCCTTGGTACTGACTGCTACATTTAGCAAGTATTTCACACAATGTTCAGTTGTACCTTTCACAAGGCCATTAGTCTGTGGATGATATATTGACGAAAGCTTGTGTTTAATTTTGGCTTTATTGCACACCACTTCTATGACTTTATTATAGAAGTGGAATCCTTGGTCAGATAGGATCTGCTGGGACACCCATGTCGACTAATTATATCCTCTAATATAAAGGTAGCAACAGATTTGCAAAACAATTGGGAAGGGCCAGGCCTCGGGCCACTTCGTTACGTATTCAACAACAACAACCAGGTACCGATTGCCCATCCTCATAACTGGTAATGGCTCCACAATGTCTATTCAGATGCAGTCAAACGGTTGGGTTACTCTTATTAGATATAGAGCTTCTCAGGTCTTTGGCTTTTCTCTACATTGTTACACATTGCAGCTTTTTACAAAATTTTTGATATCTATTACCATTTGGTTCCAATGGTACCTTTTTTTGACCTTTTCTACTGTAACGTTTTTTTTCCAAATAGCCTGAGACAGGATCTTCATGCATTGCTCATAGCACCAACAAAACTTGGTCCTGCTCTAAAACTTATAGGGGTTGTTTAGGGTTTTGTCAATTCCTTTAATACAGTATTCCTTCCCTAACCAGATAATGTTTTGCCTGCGCCCTTAATTTTCTGGCCTCTTTTTTGAAGAGCCTTCAGGAGTCTTCAGGTTTATTAGGTATCAAAGAAGGTTTAGATAGTCATCTTTTTTCATTTTATTTTTATTTTTTTTTTGTTTTTTGTTTGTTTGTTTGTTGCCAGGACACTGTTACCTGGACTGGATTATCAAATTTTTTTTTTTTTTTTTTTTAAGTCTGTAATAATCTTTTGCTTTCCGTTATTTAATTGCAATTTGTTTTTACTGTATTACTCTTAAATATATCTTATCATTGATTTGCATTAATCATTATGCGCCTCTTCCCTGTGCATAATTGTTGCAGCTGTTCCAATAAAACCACATCTGTTATAAAGTATATATTTTTTTTCATATTATTTATTTCAATTTTTTTTTCATATTATTTATTTTATTTTTTATTTTTTTTAAATTGTCTGTGTTAAACCAAATTAACAGACCTACTCTGGTCTGTCACCTTTTTCCCTGCTTATTCCATACAGGATAGACTATTAACATTGCCTATTTGTTTCCTAGGCTTGTACTTTACCACAAAGATATAACCTTGTAGAGTCATTATATACTGGGCTATTCGTTCCGTGGGGTTAACCTTATTGCCAAGATAGTTAGCACCGTGTGATCAGTCACTATTACAAACTAAGTTTTATGCAAATACTGGTGAAACTTCTTGACAGCTTACACAATAGGGTACACTCTAGTTTCATTATAGTGTAGTTCTTTTCGAGAGGCTTGGTTGAGTGGCTGGCATATTTCACTACACGCTCTATATCTTCATCATCTTGTTGCAACAGCACAGCACTAAGAGCCAAGTGTGACACATCCATATACAATACATATCTCTTATCATCCCTAGGGTGAGCTAAAATAGAGGCCATAGTTAACAACGACTTCAGTTTCTCGAATGCATTCTGCTCTTTCTTCCATTCAAACTTTTTTTCTATCTTTAACAACTTGTAAAGTGGGGTGGCTATTTTTGAAAACTCCTTTATAAATCTTTAATAGAAACACACCAAGCCCAAAAACCCCTAAGTAATCGAAGATTCTTGGGTCTAGGAAACTTACTCATAGCTGAAACCTTTGCTTCTGCTGCTGATATCCCTTTTCTAGATATTTTATATCCTAAAAAAAAAATCTTAGCTTGTTCAAAAAAACATTTAGCCAGGTTTAGCTGCAGGTTTGCTTCATGTAACCATGCCAATATGACGTTCATATGTTCCAGATGCTGATTAAAGTTAGAGAAGTAAATGTTTATGTCATCGATGTAGGCCAACACATAGTTCCATATTTTCTTTTGAAATATCCGGTCTACTAGTCTCTGGAAAGTAGTAGGTGTATTCATTAAACCAAAAGGCATCACTACAAATTTATATAACCTAAATCTGGTCATAAATACTATTTTTTCGCAGTCACATGGGTGCACACCTACTTGCCAAAAGCCACTTGTGAGGTCCAACATAGTATATCATGCTAAGCTCTTAAGAGCACCCAGCAATTCATTAATTCTCAGAAGGGGTAACTACCCTGTTTTGTACACTTATTCAGCTTGAGAAAGTCCACACACAACCTCATCTTCCCATTTTTTTTCTTGACCAGAACCACAGGTGATGCCCACGGACTATTAGACAGTTGTATCAAACTAGCTTCTTCCATTCTTCTTATCTCTTGGCCAATGAATTCATGCTCGAGCCTAGATATAAGATAAAATCTCTGTTTTATCAGAAAACCTTCCTCCATGTGTATCTCATGCTATACAATTGATATTCTTCCTAGCTGGTCCAACTCATGGGCAAAGATGAGCAGGACTTGCTTCATTTGGTCTTGCTGTTCTTCGGTCATATCACCTAAGTTATATTTTTCAACCTGCATAGACTTTTCCTTAATTGGGTTGGTTTTTCAAGTCTCCAAATCCTCTTTTCACAAACACTCCGTTTCTTCATGCCCTTTTTTTAGGCAACAACCGCATGCTTCACTAGAGTCCATCTCCATGGGATAAAACTTGAAGTATAGGTAGGTTTGACTTATCAGCCCTTTCTCTTCTTCATATTCTTCCTCGCTAAATTCTATTTCATCTTCATCTTCAATCTTAGAGTCTTCACCATTACTTTCTTCTTCGATTTCCTTCATATTTACATTCAGATTTTTTTTCACTACCCAATTACTGATGTTTGCTAGCTTACAATATTCAGTTGAGACCCTTATTTTTTTATCTCCATGTCTTATCATTAATTCACAGGATTCTCATTCTAAACAGGCCCTAGCCTTCTTCATCCAGTTATTTTCTATGATTATAGTATAATTACTAGTTTCAACCACCATGGCCTTCAATATAATGGTTTTTTTCTCCACAGTTACAGAAAATTCATCTATTTCTCCCAACAGCCGTTTTTGTTTGCCATGCACTCCAACTATAATTACGGTAGATGGTCGGTGTGAAAGTGTGACTAACCACTTTAAAGCTAAAACTAACTAATAACTACACTATAACACCTAAACTATCTAAACTATAACTATAATACTCTAAAATTAATCTCAAGACTCCAAGGACCTTATAGTGGAAGGCTTTGAATAGAGGCATGGAGGACTTGGTCCGAGTTACAAGGTCTTTTTGGGTCTTGTTAGGATTGCCGGGGTTTAATATAAGTATCCTTGGTCTTTATTGTCTTCTGGTTGTTTTTATTGTAACGATACTTTTAACAATTTAATATCCTTATCTCTTCTTCATTTAGCGTTCTACGGCTTTCTTGGTCACGTAGAACGTCACTTCGATAACTGCGGTGCTTCGGTGGTTCAATATTCGACTTTAATCGGTGATGTCAATTCAGGTCATCAATTTCGACGTCACGAGCAAATAGATCGGCTGAGTTCGGATTTTCAATTACTCAACTATGTCACGAGTGCTTGTATCAGTATTGATCGGATTTCTAATTGCTGATACGTCACGAAGGTATTTTAGCGGTAATCGGGTTTTCAATAGGTCGAGTATGTCATGAGACTACTATGTCACGGGGAAGTATGTTGATCAATTGTATTGTTCGATAAACTTTGATAATAATGGGGTCACAGGGATGATCAACTCAATTTACTAGATAAGGGAAGTAATGAGAATTCTAATGCTTTTGTTCTTTCGATCAAGACTTTTGGGTATTTGACAATAATTTCGGAATACTAATTGTGAATTTTACGGTTTATTATAAAGGACTTTTGGTATCAAAGGTATGGTTTTAGGAAACAACTTCTACTATGTGAACTTCGAAGTTTTAGAGTTTTTGGTTTTAAGAACTCAAAAGAGTTATTTTTATTTGCGTGAAAAGTCTTCACATTTTATAGTTTTTATATTGCTATGGCTTAAATGGCTCAGCGCATATGTTAACAAGTTTTCTTCATTGTAAAGATGAAGAAAATGAAATAAATGACATAAATTTCATTTACTTCACTTATTTCACTTTCGAAATTTTCTTCACCTTCGATCCTACCAAAATAGGCATCGAGGCTATGATCTAGTTAATTCTACGTTACTACTATATTGACTAACTATGCTAAGCTACACTTTTAGAACTTAACCGGTACAATGTTACAGAAAAAATAAAAAAAAGATAAAAATAGAAGAAAAATAAATTCGGGGGCCTCAGGAGCCCCTTACATCGGTCAATCGATATTCTAGCTTCCTTCAAAAACCCAGTGAAGACAATGCGATTTGATGACCCACTATCTAAGATCAGAATAATGGGTTGTTCATTAACTCGAGCTTCGCAATACATAGACATTGTGTAAGCTTCATCATTTCAATTTAGACAAAATTTGGCCATCCTTGTTTTAGCGGTTCTTTCTGGCCATAATATTTTTAATGCCTTTTTTCGTATATTTGGGGCTGCTTGGAAAAGCTGGGCATACATGATATCAGCCTTCTTATTCTGCAGGTCTGACATTATTGAGTATGATTAGATTTTTGTCATTATTAGAGGTTCCATGGGCCTGGTCATTTTCTTTTTAGCAACCTTTTTCTTATTCTCTAGTTTATCCTTCCCTTTTTCTTTGTTTTCTCCTAAATACATTAGTCCAGCATTTTACCCTTATGTTTATCTCCCTTCTCCAGTTCATCACCTTTTAATTCATTAGTCCTTCATCATTACCTCATTGACATTTAGCCAAATATGCTTTCTCTATTTTTGTAACTGAGGGGTTTGTAGATAGCATCACACTCTCACCTCTCAAGATGCGCCACCTAGTTTAAATGCTCGAAGCCCTCTTGAATCTGGGCTATTATTACTTGGGCCCTAGGTTGTTTGTCAGCTGGTCGATTGGTAGTAGTGCCGGTGGTACCTTGATTCTGAACAGGTGGGTTTCTTATGACATTATTTTGATTTGGGCACTCACGGGTATAATGCCCTGCTTGCTGATATATAAAACATACTAGTGGCCTCCTCGTTCTTTCTGCTTGGTTTTCATTATTTGCAGGACGAAAACAACTATTGTTGCTTCCGTTATTCTTAACCGCTGAAACTATTTCTTGCAGCATTGACATGACTTACTCTAGTGGGTTATTTACTGTAGTAGTAGCAGCTGCTTGCTGATTTACTATGAACATAGTTGTTACTGGGGCCATGATGTTCATTATGGTAGTAGGACCACAAACGGTTATTCCATGGGCAAAAGTCATTTTACAAACCCTGGCCCTTTCAATAGCTTCTTGTAAGGTATTGGGCATGAAAGGCTCTACTGCTAGTGATAGTTCTGGCAGAGCTTTTGCACAAACATTTGCACCTTCATTATCTCTGGGTATTGGTTTCTGACCTGGTCACTCGATTAAATAATGCCAGCACATCCGTCACACATTGGTTACTGTTTCTCCCAATTGTTGGTGTTGATTCAACAACTCCGTGTTCCACTAATTGATTAGGGCTTGGGTACAAAAATTATGGCGAAATTTATGCACAAAGCTCTGGTTAGCCAAATGTTCATTATCCCAATATTGAATCCCATTCTTGTTTTGCTTTCACCGCAATGCTGTAAGGCCTGATAGGTGTGCCCCAACTGCAAGTTGCCTTGCCCCCAAAATATTATTTGCTTCAAAGGCTCAAGTTACCAACTCCAACTATTTGACAGGATCTTGATTTCTCCCACTGAAAACTGGGATCTTTACCATGTTTTGTTCCATCACTTCATACTGGGTTCCCGTGGTCTTGCCAAAGCATTGGCTATGACTTGTAATAGATGCAGCACTTGTTGGTTTGGGTCATTTTGTTGAGGGGCATTTGGTGGATTAAGATTAGCCAGAGGTTCTTTGTACTGGGGGGATTAGCATCTCTTGGCGGATTATTGTCTGGTTCCACTATGTTTCCTAAATGCTTCTCTTCTGGGTGATCATCATTATTATTAAAAGCGTTTCTCCACATGTTTGTTAGCAGGTTTGGTTTGTATAATCTTTATCTTTGAATCGTTAGTCATAAAATCTCTTTTTTTTTTTTTTTTATCTATTTATCAACCTTTAATTATTTTTTTCTGACACCGGTGTAAATCCACACAATCGGCACCAAATATGTTGTAACCAGGGAGAGAATTAACACGAGGTTACTAACATAAACTCAAGTTTAAGTGGCTAATGAATGGTAATCGAGTTGAGTGAAGCTATCCTACAATTTCTCACAGTCGTGGGTTGGTTTGTAAGTTTGTGGCTAAGTTTATATGTATAGTCATATTTAAGGTTGTTAATCTATCCAAAAGTCAATTATATGAATTATTATGGTCAAAATTCTAATAATGGGTTCGGATCGGCACTATACTCAGTTTGGGCATAACGAGTTTTTAAGGCTAGATCGAGGTTATTGTTTCTTTTTAGACAATTAGATAGGAATTACATAGTTATGGAATGTACTTTTAGGTTGAGGCGGAAAGTGTAATTGTTCTTTATTAGTTTTAGCATTGTATTTATACATTTTTAAATCCTGGGGGTCCGAGACCCAGATCTGGGTTTCAGACCCTTATTGAGGGTTTCAGACCCTTATTGAGGGTTTCAGACCCTTATTGAGGGTTTCAAACCCTTATCCATGGTCCAGACCGCCTCGCAGGGTTCGAGACCCTGGCCTGCGGTTCGGGACCCTTGCATACTTATATTGTTTTTACAAAAAGAAATACAACCATACAATTGTTCGAAAAAGGACATTATCTAGCACAAAGCAGACTAAAGAAGAAATTATACTAATTATTCTCGTAACAACGGCACATGCTGTAACCGTATTAATTTGCCAAATTAATTCTCTGACAACACTCTTATCAGATCGGATTATCCAAATAAAATCATACGTGCAACACATTCATCCGAGTTGACGTACGTATGTACAGTCAACAGATCGACAAGGCCTGGGTAAGTGGGATCATGAGCCAATGTGGTAAGGCATGCGGTGATCAGCATGAGATTTCTAAATAGAGATCCGAACACAGGTGAGTATGATGTAAAATCAATTTCCGCAATGGCAACCTGGGCAGGCTCGATACAATAAAAAGCAAGTACAAATAAAAGGAGAGCAGCTCCAACAATTACGGCAGGAGTAGTCAATTCTGTTGCGAGAAACAGAACATAATCGCAACCCGATCTCGCCTACCTGACATTTCATAATAATTACCAAGTTCTGCTACTCACGTTTTCGCATTAATGGCCGGTTTGTATTATGAGATGGGCCAATGCCATACACTGCTTACGGTGATGACTAGTGATGTGGGCTGACCCCGGCCCATCGCCGGGCGGGCTGAGGGTCGACCCACACCTTCATGGGCCGGGGCCGATTAAAATAAGCCTATAGTTGTAAATACTAAGTTGCCATCAATGAGTTAACAAGTAAATTGATGTAAGTTACCAAAACTTTTGGTAAGTTTTCGAATTAATCATAAATTCAGGCAGCATTAAGTCAAAGTTAAAGGAAAGATAGAGTAATATCGGAACATTTCTGGATGGTGAATAATCAACCAACACAAAACACGAGCATGCTCGCCGGGGATTTTCGGACATATGGCAATTTTCTTATTAAGTTATCGATAGATAATATTGTAAGACATATAAGATAGTTTGTGACAGCTTAAAATAATTTAATAATATAGTCGGCCCAAGCATTTGGCATCGGCCCGTATCACTAGTGATGACCGTCACAACTTCGGTTGTTATTTCTCGGAACATATCTATTTCAGTTTCAATCATGCATAAATCATATCTACATTCGCAAAATAAAGTCTAGTCCCGGTATATTAGACCGGATTATCCAAATTGAATCATGCATGCAATACTTTTCGTAATCATATTAAACCTTTAAAATAAGAGAATAATTAGTAAAACTTAAAAGAAAAATTTACTTATTTGCTTTTTTATAATTAAATATTTTTATTTTTTAACTACTATGATAGTATCAAAAAATTTACATTTTACATATGTAATTCCAAAACCCCCAAGTTGATTTATTGTATTATTATTCGAAAAATTCCGCCGTCATTTATATAGACAATCAAGTCAAATTACTAAAGAATCGCTAATTTAGTTGACTAATGTTATGTCAATTTGAAACACCAGTTATATTTTAAAATGTATAAATATCGATTTACATATCGAATTTACATATCTGATATATCCGGATCAACGCGCGTTAACGTGAAAATCATTTAAAAATTTATAAATACTGGATAAAATTATTTTGCGTGAACTACAAATTTTAGAGGAAATTTATTATTTATTTTATAATTTGCTTTAAACATACAATCTTTACACGTTATTACATGTATTTTATGATAAAGTATGCGGCGGTTAATCAACAACAAAAAATTAATCTTTGTAATTGTTGTTGTTTTAGTAGAATTTGCGTATGTGTGTTTTTGGAGCTTAAACATACAAATTCCACATTTTAACTTTACTAAACAGTTTATCAACCAAAATTTCAATTCGACTTTTCTTGGCTTTGATCATATTTATGTTATTAACATTTCAAGTCTGCCGGGAACATATGAAAGATTAAAATTAATAGAGAATAAATTAAATTTAAATTTCGAGTTTTTTCCTGCCGTTTCTCAATTTGATAATGAATTGCTTAACGAATTTAATCAAAGTGAATTATCATCATCTCAAAAAGCTTATTATTTTAGTCATTATAAGATTTATCAATCAATTGCACAACATAAATATGAAAGTGCTTTAATTTTAGAAGATGATATAGATTTTGAACATAATATCACATCGATTATGACTGAAATTTATCAGACTTTATCAGCTGATTGGGAAATCCTATATCTTGGCCATTGTAGTGATTGGGAAAGAAATTCTGATATGTATTTATCTGAAAATAATAATAATAGTCCATCCACTTATAAGATTTTTAAATCAAAAAGACCATATTGCACACATGCTTATGCAGTTTCATACGCTGGTGCTCTTAAGCTGTTACAAAAACTTCATAATATAACAACCAATCCAATTGATCTTGAATTGGTTAACATTATTAAATCAAATGAAATCTCTTCATATACTATTGTACCACCGGTCATATCACGATGGCGCTTTGATAAGTCAACAGATCTTTATCCGGGCAGAAATACTTCAAATTTATTCTCTTTAAAGAATTCAACATTACATTCTCTTGGACTTAATTATGTATTAAATAATACTCTCGGATTTAGTCATATTTATATTATTAATCGCGTAAATCGGGTAGATAGACGTGAAAATTTTGAATCTGTAGCGAAAAAACTTAATTTAAATTTCGAATTTTTCACTGCGCTTCCTAAGGATGATAAAGAAGCACTCAAAGAACTTAGATTAGCCGATAATGCAGGTTTAATGCAAACTCAAATTGCTAGTTACCTTAGTCATTATAAAATTTATCAATCAGTTATTAATAATGAATATGATACCGCTCTGATATTAGAAGATTATATAGAGTTTGAGCCTAATATTGATACAATTATTACTGACACATTTAAATTTCTACCTTCTGATTGGGATCTCTTTTATTTCGGTCATTGTAGTGACCATGAAGCATCCGGCCTTTTTATAGATGGCCAAGATAGCTCTGCAGTTTATAAATTGTATCGTTCTAGGCATCCACTTTGCACTCATGGTTATGCTATCTCTCGTGCTGGAGCCTTCAAATTAATTGAAATGCTTATCCCAGCATCTCAAGCAATTGATAGTGAATTGGCCGAGTTGAATTTTTTAGGACTTATTAATTCTTATTCTATTGTACCACCAGCCATAGTACAATGGGGCTCTTCAAGTAATCCTTCAAGTATTGCCTCTATTTGAGCACCTCTGTGGTAGTTTTTTTTAGAAAATTTCGCTTTGACATTTTTTAGACTTGTTAAGGGATCTAATAATACTCTTGGATTTAATCATATATATATCATTAATCATCCAGATCGGTCTGAAAGACATGAAAAATTAAACAAAATTCTAGAAGAAATTATACATATAGCTTATGATTATTTGATATTTCCCATAATGACGAGATATATTTAATCAAAATAATGAATTACAAGAATCACAAAAAATTTCTTATTTAACTCATTATAAAATATATAAATCAATTGTTGATAATGGATACGGAGTGCATTAATTTTAGAAGATGACATAGACTTGGAAATCAGAACATCATCAATTATGTTTGATATACACCGAATTTACCCATTGATTGGGAGATTCTATATCTGGAACATTGTGATAACATTAAAAGTAAATCAAATGTAACTTTATCTAATTACAAACTATTTAAATCCGAGAAGTCGAATTGTTTACTTGCTTCTGCCATTTCTCATAATGGAGCTATTAAATTATTAGAAAAACTTAACAAACAACAATGTTTCCAATTGATATAGAATTAGGTAATCTTATTCAATCCAAAAAATTATTTCATATGCTATTTCGGCATCAATTATTGTTCAATGGAATCCTGATGAAAAATTTTTCTGAAATTAATAGTTTAAAACATCCTTCTATCGAATTTTTAAATTCAATGGATTTGTAACTTGCAATCACCTGCCTTATTTGATGCTATATAAAAATCCTCTTTATAAGCATATTTTTATTTAAACTCAATTACATAATAAAGTTATTGGATGCTTCGCATAAAATAGCTTCAATAGTCTTGAGACTTGACTTTTTTTTCATTAAATGAATTTGTAATTCGAATTATATCAAGAATGTATAGCCTATTATCACGTGAACAATATTGGTAAAATGTGTAGGACACGCGTGAAGGATGAAATTTTATTATAAGATCTACATCACAAAGTTGTCTTTATGTAGAATTATGTAAAATTTTTGTAAAAACTTTATAAACCCAATAGATTTGCATAGCTATTTATATAAATCTATATTTATTTCTAAGTAGAATTATGTAGAATAACAAAAAAATTTTTAACTTGAATATTAAAGCTAGAATTAGCTTAAATTTAAGAGTTCAGGGAAGGTTTCTAGCATGCTGAACATAGTCACTCATGAGAAATAGCCAAAGTAAATTGGTTTTATGTAACATTATGTATATATATATATAGTATATATAATTATATGGCCAGTCATACTTCGCTTGAGAGACTTCCACTGAGTGAAGTGCTTAAGAATACCCTAAGTCTCAAATTATCTTGCTATGGGCAATGTAAATATATTAGCCGTATTTTTTTAAATTAACATGCTACAAACGAAGAGGATAGGTTTTTTTTTTTTAAATAGTTTCATCACGAGCATTTTACATAAATTTGTTCAGCATTTTTTAAAAAAATTATTATGCTAAAGCAAAACTCATTAAACAGGTTTTTTCTTTTAAAAAAATTATCATACTATTAGCGAAATATGTATATATTTGATAAATTGCAAATTAATTTATTATAGATGAAAAGTAGAAATTAAATAAATTTATTCAATCATATTACTATATTAGATATCAATGTATGAAAATTCTCTGAAAATGTAGTAATTAGGAAGTCAAAATATATTGTCATGGCGATGACCAACATCCCTTGTGTTTCTAAGGTTAGGTATGGTCACGGGTTACTGGATTCTGACCGGGCGGGTGCAGTGTTGCATGATGTGTGTAACCAGGTAATCAAATACCCAGATCATCGATTCCAAAGGGATAGAGTGTGCAGGTTTGTTCGTTTATTTAGTGAATGAACATTCTTGGCGATATACTGTATAAGGTAGCTGCGCGACGCTGTCACGCGAAACCAGGAACGTAAATTTATGAATTTTCGTATAACATGGATATGGTACAAAATACCTAAAACATCCAATATTGCTACTCATATAATCATATAATTCAAATTTCGCAAATTAACATTTGCAAATAATTACGTGTAAGATTTACCCATTTCACGAAATTTACAATATTTTCTGAGTAGTAGCAATTTTTTAGAAAAATCACAATTTAAAATACATTGTTATTAATAATCGACTGGATGATATTTATTAAATAGATACAATTAATCAGTTTAATGGTTAAGATTTGATTTATTAGTACCGTAAACGGCCATATAAAAGACCCGGGTCATCGAAAGTAAAAATTTGAAATACATATACACTTTGCATTTGTAACATGCAATCTAGATGTTTGGATTTCAATCAAGAAGATCCTGAGATATGCACACGTACCTAGTACCCTGTGGTCTACTATTCAGGAGGATCTTATCTGTTATATATGGCTGTTTACGATAATAATGGTCGTACCTAAATTATGATAACTAGCTAACAACTAGCTTACCCGGATAACAGGATTAAAAGATTATTAACGGATTAATATTAATATTTATGATCCGGTTAACTTACGGTTACATACTAATACTAATACATGAGTTACATCAAGGAAAAACAGGTTTCAATCATATAAAACTTACAGTATAACCTTGTTTTTCTCTTGGAATATTCTGATATTTATATCTGATTTATAAATCGTGAAGCATGAATAATTTTCAAATAGAAAATTTGTAACTAGTTACATTTACTTAATATGCTAAACAAATGTGAAGATTTCTTGCTTCACTAACAATTATTCAGATTTAGTTGGCATCATATATTAGTTGTTTGCTTGACATGATGTCAACTAAATGAGCTGTCGATGAAATAATTGTTGAGGAAGTAAGAGGAATCACTTATTACTGTGCGATTGAAATTTCTTTATAAGACCTGATCAAATGCCCTGAATTAGATTCTATTGTATTTAAAGTTACCTAAATGTATAATTGTTATTATAATGTAGTCATAAAATAATGCAAATGCTTTTATAGAAGTTTATATCAAATTTTTATAATTTAAGAAATAAATTACATGGCTGCTCATTTTTTTAGAGATTATAACTGGTTACCTTCTTCGATAGGTTATATACCAGTTATTAGATTTTATTAAAAATTTAACCTTTTAGATTAAATGTTAACATATAACCACTAATAGTAGAGATTGAACTGCCTAAAATCTTCCAATAGTTTGACTATTTATCTGTATTAACCTGTTTAACTGTTTAAATCTAGCCAATATTAATATAATTTTGACTAACATAATTTGGCCAGAAACTATGGAAAATTTCTATGCAGTTCAGTGTAGGGATGGCAAATCAGTTCAATTTTATTATATAGAACTGAATTATTCTGGTAATAATATATTCTTGATTTATATTTGATTTCAAATCTGGCTAAACATCCCAAGTCAAATGGCTTAGTTCTTAGTATATAGATGATTCTTATTATAATTTGAGTTTATGTTTTTATAAATCCTAAGCACTAAAAAAATAATCAATAATTGAATCGATAAATTTTGTTTGTTTTGACTCAGTAGCTTAAGTACTCATCGATTTGATTTTTGAGTAATTTTTAGCCGTCCTAAAATTTATGGAAACTGGAAATTATAAGCTGGATAATGAGCAAGATTTTAATAAAAATCATCTAGGGCCTACCAAAAGTGCTGTAACGTGTCTAGATAGTTAGTCTGCATTAATATAATTAGGTTGATGGTCTTAAAACCTTTAATTTGCTAAAAATTAGCTTTTTCAATTTTTTTTTTAAAAAAAAAATCATTTTTTCAGGCCTTATGCTAACGATTGCTCACTCAACTGCAACAGACCTCAATTTGCAACCAACCCTTCCTGCTTCCCAAAAGAATTTGACTATTTTCATAATATCAATATCACATATTGATATTAATGGCCGGCCTGCAATATGCAGGTGGGTTAGGGCAAAGCTGCACTAGAGTTGGGTACCAAAACCTGAAACCTCTCCAAAACCATAAAATTAAAATGTTAATAACTAATGCATATTTACTATAAAGTAACCAAAATATTTCTGGAATGCAATCTAATTATTATGTACTTTATGTCTTAAAGTCTAAAATTAAAATTCTAACCCTTTTAGTATAGTATAAAGTTTCAGAAAAGGGTTTGGGATTTCAGAAAGGGTTTTAGGATTTTATATATAGTTTTAGGTTTCGTTACCAACTCTAAGCTGCACAAACTCAACTGCTATATAACTGCAAATATTAATATCACATGTTAATACTGACAGCTGGCTGATATTATACAGATAGAAAACTATTGGCCCATACTAAGCCACATAAGCAACTACTTACAGTTATCTCTCAGTACAATATTATCACAATTTCTGGGAGTATATCTCATTTTGGTTTCAATAGCAAACTAATCACAGCTAAATGAACCTACTATTTTCAGAATTATATAACTGCTGAATATCAATGTCATATTACATGTTTATATTACAGCTATTCTCATAAATTTCAGAACATCTAGTAAAAAAATTGACTAAATGATTGTTTGGCTGATTCGATAAGTTTTTGATTTCGGCCATGAATGATTGTATAATAATGTGTATATCTTGCTAATAACAGAAAATATATATCAATATCGCTATTTTATTTTTGCACTTGTGACTAATTCAATAATAATAATATCTAAATTTTTGTCTAAATATTAATGTTTGCATTATTACAAATTAGAAAGAATATTTCTAAATTTTTGTGCTGAAAACTTTTACATAATAACAATAACAATTTTTTTTGCAAATTTATGAGTTTTTTGTGATTTCTGTTTTTTTTTTGTCTTTGTATATTACATACTGATTCTACAATCAGATTAAATAAAAATCATGGGACCACCAAATTTTTGCACCATCACTATTTCACTTGGTGTGAAACCAAACTCAACTATTATTTGCCCATATCAGTTTCAATATTCAATAAAGTACATATTGTATATACGTAATCCTTTTTAAATAAACAAACCTGTTCAACAGCGGGAAACATATATAAGC